TGGCTAAAAGCCCACCTCTTTAGAATGTAGTAGAAGGCCACTGACATGCTGCCTCCTCCAGAGAGTTATTCTAAAGGTCTGGCTAAATGAATTCAGGAATAACCATTTTAGCAGAAGTATTAAGGACTTCTGGGGTGCGTCAGCCCCCCTGCTGGTGAGAGAGGAGAGTAAGGGCTAGTCTGGAGCCAACTGGATGGAATTTCCAAGTCAAAGAAGAGACATACAGAGGGTTTGGGGGAATAGTAATACATTGTTACAGAAGTCTGTTAAAGGACAAAGTTCTCAAAGGCAATTCTAACTTTAATAGAATCTGGTTTGTCTTCTCTTGCATTTGGAGAAAGCAGTTATTTTAGGAAGTAAGCCTAAAGAAAAGAGTTTTACAACCTTCGGATTGTTCATCTTCATCTAATTTCTAAAGCAGCAGCTTTCACTTTAAAAGCGTTTGGGGGTTCAGGGTGGCACTGGGGTCAAGCCCGGGCGTGGTGGCCTCAGTCCAGGTTTGTTTCCAAGTCCCTTCCCACATGTGGAGCCCTGGCTGTGGCTCCTTAGCTAGCATTGCCCTCTACTGCTCACAGGGACAAGTGCACCAGCCACAGCCGCTCCCAAGGGACCAAATCTCAGCCCCACACTCAACCCAAACTCGCTGTCAAGTCCATTCTGAATCCTGGCGGCCCTAGAGCACAGGGGAGAACATGCTCCCTGTAAGTTTCCGAGACTTACTGTAACTCTATGGGAGTAGAAAGCCCTATCTTTCTCCTGAGGAGTGTATCGGTGGTTTAGAACTGCTGACCTTGAGGTTAGCAGCCCAACACAGAACCACCATGCCACCAATTCAGACTAAAGGAATCTCTAAGGGTATGCTATAGGCATGTATATATGTAAATATATTAATTTATAATGAAAGGGATAGAGGCCAATGTACATATATTTATTTACGTATTGAGAAAGTGGTTCTGGGTCTCTACTCAAGGCCTCCCTAAACGCAAGAACACTTTATTCTAATAACCTGGAACTCTGGTATTCACCTTCCCTGCATGATTGCTAAAAGCAAAATGGGTACATAAGTCAATGTGGTGAAGAGAGTGGATGGTGCCCGGCTATCAAAAGTTATAGTGTCTGTGGTCTTAAAAGCTTGAAGCTAAATAAGCAGCCATCTAGCAGGGAAGCGAATAAGCCCATATGGAAAGAGCACACCAGCCTGTGTGATCATGAGGTGTTGACGGGATCAGGTATCAGGTATCAGAAGATCCAAAACAAACAACTCTATCTATGTGAATTAGGGGGCTTGGAGTGGAGACTCAAAGCCCATCGGTGGACAACTGAGTATCCCCCCAACAGAAGGGTTATAAGGAAGGGATGATTCAACCAGGGTGCAGTATAGCAGTGACGAAACACACATCATTCCTCTAGTTCCTGAATGCTTCCTCCCCGCCACTACTATGACCCAGTTCTACCTTACAAATCTGGCTAGACTGAAGAACACACATCGGTACAGATAAGAGCTCTCAACACATGGAATCCAGGACAGATAAACCCCTTAGGAATAGTAGTGGGAGTAGCGATATGAGGGTGGGGGGATAGTTGGGGAAGGGGAAGGGGGAACCCATCACAAGGTTGGGTCTATAGCACACCCCCCAAAGGAGACAAATAACAGACATGTGGGTGAAGGGAGGCAATGGACAGTGTAAGATATAAAATATTAATAACAGTGTAGAATTAATCAAGGATTCACAAGGGTGGAAGGGTGGAGGAGGGAGGGGACAAAAGAGGAGCTTATGCCAAGGGCTCAAGTAGAAAATGTTTGGAAATGGTGGTGGCAGCATATGTGCAAATATGCTTGATACAATTGAGGTATAGAATGTTATAAGAGTTGTAAGAGCCCCCAATAAAGTGATTTTAAAAAATAATCTCTAAGGCCATATCATTACCTCTTTATAAAAAAATCTCCTGGCTTGACAATTAAATCCTTTTTTTTCTGAACTTGGAACTCTTGCAACGTGCGGTCTCGAAGGAACGGAGGACTGTGTTGGGTATGCAGAGGTAAACCCTAAACGACAAGCAGACACGGTACAGATTAGCACACAACAGTGCATTGGCGCATGTAGAAAGCAGCGCTAGTTTGTTGTGTTTTAAACTAGAAATTTAATGAACGTGACTGATGTCTAATAAATAGGAGACTGGGTTTTTTTTTAAGTATTCTTCATTCCCTGCCCGGCTCCCCGGTCCTCCTCCTCTAGCTTCCACACGGATACGCGATGTGGTCACATGCCGAGAACGGACTATCCCAGGGCAGAGGAAGGCTGCCCCACGGCAGATATTCTCGCCAGGAGGGAAGAGCGCCCACCCAGGACCCATTCTAGGCCTGAAGGGAGGCCAGCTGGCCGAGCAGAGGGCCAGGGGCCACGGCCAGGGTCTTCACCCCTCCGTGGGCCGGGCAGACAGCAGGAGTGCCACAAAGACGGCAGCGCTGCTGGGGAAGCCCCAGGTGGGGTCTGCTCTCCCTTGTCCAGGCAGGGTCAGCACCAAATGTCCGTTTACAGTTCAGTGCTGAACAGATACAGGGCTAAGAAGCAGAAAAAGGTCAGTTGATTTTTTCACATGTCTGGCTGGTGATGCATAAATGCATCCATCATGGTAAACCAGTGCTAAATAGAAAAAAAATGGTTATGAAGAAGATAATGCCTAGGGAAGATTGAGGCAATACTATACACACAATTCCCTCGTTACATTTTATTTCTGAGCATCACGGGCCACAACAATTACCTCGGGGGCCGCATGCAGCCAGCGGGCCACCAGTTTGACACCCCTAGTGTAAACCCACCTCCTGCCCCACCCTCCGCATCGCTGCCCTTGTGGGCGGCTGGCCCGCAGCCACAGGCAGCACCTGTCTACATAGCTGGCTGATTACAGAGTAGGCTGGGAGTGTGAGAGAGTCTGGCTCCATCTTTTGATGCTGGACTGCAGGCTGCTTTGAAGCCCCACCCCTCCCTTTTTACCTTCTTGCCCCACATCTGAGCAAACTGATGGAAAACCCCATCTGCTCCCTTCTTTGATGCCAATTGTGAGATGGAGCCACGGAGGCCTCTCCCCGCCACAATAAAACCCACCCCAGCGTCCTTTTCTGCCCCTGTCCTGTACTCCCCAGAAAGCCCTTGCATGCATTCCTGGGGTGTGGGTTGGCATCATCGGACTCAAGCCAACTTTTAGGTGGGAGTCCATCCAGACTGTGGATAACAACAACTTGGGCACGAGGGTCCTAATTCTGAAAGGGGAAATGTGTACATAAATTGGGGAAAGAATAGCGAGGTAAAAAGAAGATATGTGTTGGGGGCTTGAGGGAAGGGTATTTCATGGAAACTATCTTTAAAGCACATTTCTTAATGTCTGAAATTTTAAAAATAAATAAAACTGCTTTCAGAGAGCGAAGCCTAATGCCAGCAAGGGACCCTTCGGGCTAAGGGGCTGCTTTCCTGAACCAGTTTTACAGGCGAGGGACTTGAGGCTCAGAGGGATTGAAGTGCTCATCCAAATCACACAGCTAGCAACAGCTGAGGTCTGGACACAGGTCGTCTAATGAGTCCAAGTTCCTAAGCTCTAAGTTGTGCTTCGTCCCGTGGGCCTGGCTCATAGTAGACGGCCAATGAATGGATGGATGGAGTCAGGAAGGAGGGCAGTCTAGCCTGATTTGCCTGAGTTGAAGATGAAGCAAGTAAACGAAGCGACATATATACATTTAGTTAGAAAATATTTGGAAATGGCATTATATATTTTTCTTTTCCTTTTGCTTTAACTTTTTATTGTGAAATGGGTGAGGCTTTAGAGGGTGGCTATCAGTTTTACACTCAACAATTCATGCACATTTTGTTTCAACGCATCTGTTGCAACCCCTACCATGCACCGTCACTTGTCCTACGAGACTCTCCTCTGTTTCCTGTTTTCATTCTTTCTTTCGTAACCCTCTGAGCTTTGTCTTCGGGTAGATGCTGCCCCATTGGTCTTCAGTGGCTGATAATTCTAGCAGGGGGTGAGTTCCGTTCCAGATCTGAAGGGTGACTAAGGCGTCCCAACAAGTCTCTATCTGACTCGTAAGCTCGAGCTCTGTTATGATGTTGAGATCTGTTCCGCATTTTCCTCCCAGTCGATCCAGAACCTTCTAATGTGATCTTTTCAGGGCAGTTCCGTGGGGACTGAGGCTTGCCTGGTGCATTAGTCCACTAAGCTAATGGGTTCCATGTGTCATTAGATGTTCATCGCTCTTCATCCTCCAGACACGGAGAGACCAATAGTCATACCTGGCAAGCTTTTGAGACCCCCCACCAAGGAGGGACATAGAGCACTGTCACCGAGCTACGTGATGTCAGTGCACCTTGCTGTGCCCCAGAGCCTCTGGTGCTTAACCCGCAGGTCCGATGACTCATTCCCTCAATGTGCTTGGTTATGTCTACGAAGTTTTCATAACTTTGCCTTCTGTATGTTTCACTACATTCAGGATATACTTCCAGAAAATACCCTCTGTAAAACTTAGGGTGACTGTGGGTATATAGCCACTCTTCCTCCCATACCTGCTCAGTCCGTGTGTGGATCCAAGCATCTATTTGTTGATCAATTCTTGAAAAAGTTTGTATATAATGGTATTTGCTTCTGTTGCCTTTAACTCTTATAAACCTCCCAGTGTCTTCTCATGTCTTCAATATTTGGGGGTGGGGCGGCACACAACCTTCCTCGTGTTATATATTGTCTTCCCCGTCACAAGTTAACACTTGTCGACCCTCTCCCTCCTAGGTCCCCACACTTGGCTGATCATTGGAATTACCTGAGGATCTGTTAAAAATTCAGAGCCCAGGACTCTTTCTCCTAGAGCTTCTCATTCGTTGGATAGGAAACAGAGCCTAGGGACCTGTAATTGCACAAGATCCCCAGGTGATTTCAATGATCAACTAAGTTTGGGAATCCATTGACTTCCCCTCTCACTGCTATTAACCATTAAGGAATGCTTCTTTTAATGTGAAAACCTTTCATTGACTTTTTATATTAATGAATTTCACTAAGCACAATGTCCTCCAGGTTCATCCATATTATAAAGCATTTCACCGATTCATTGTTATTCTTAAACATTGTGTAGCAATCCATTAGTGTATGTACCAAAGTTGATTTACCCATCCTCCCATTGATGGGCATTTAGGTCATCTCTGTCTTTCTGCTTTGTGCATATTGCCATAATAAACAAGGATGTGCACCTACCTATCTGTTCTTGGCCTGGCTCTTATTTGTGAAGGACATATACCAAATAGAGGGGCTGCTGGATCATATGGAACTTGGACTTCCTATTCCTAACTTTCTGAGCAAGTGCCATACTGCTTTTCACAATGGCTGCACCATTTCACAGCCCCCCAACAAGATATGAGGGTCCCGGTCTCTCCAGACCCTTGCCAGTATTGGGTGTTTTCTGTTGTTGTTTTTTAACTTCGTTAGTAATATTGGGTGAACCAATCACAATGATCTACGTGTAACCCCTCCCAGGTGAATGTACAACAGAAAAGTGGGTGAAGGGAGACATCGGACAGTGTAAGACATGAAAAATAATAATGATTTCTAAATTACCAATGGTTCATGAGGGAGGGAGAGCTGGGGAAGGGGGGGGAATGAAGAGCTGATACCAAGGACTCAAGTAGAAAGAAAATGTTTTGAAAATGCTGAGGGCAACATGGGTACAAATGTGCTTGACACAATGGATGGATGGATGGATTGTGGTAAGTGCTGTATGAGCCCCCAATAAAATTATTTTTAAAAATACTGGGGTGAAATGATGTCTCAAAAAAAATGATGTCTCACTGTTGTTAGAATTTGCATCGCTCTAATGGCTATTGATCAGAAGCATTTCTTCATGTGTTTGTTGCCACATGAATGTCTTCTTGGTGAAGTTTCTCTTCATGCCCTCTGCCCATGTTTTAATTGGATTGTTTGTCTTTTGTTGAGGTGTTGAAGTTTTCTATAAACTTTAGGGATTAATCCCTTGTCTGATATGTCATTGCCAATTTCTTTTCCAGTCTATGGGTTCTATTTGTACTTTTGATTCTAGTTTTACTCTTTCAATCTTTTGATGTATTTCATTTCTAATTGTAGGAGGGTTCAAGTCACCCACTTTGTCTTCTGCTGACGGTGTTGTTTCAGTTGCAGTTCAGGTAGGTCATAGTACATTTATGCCGTGCATTGGGGACCCCAAGTTTGTGCCTATTTTTTGTGGATGATTTCTATAGTTACAGGTTTTACATTTAGGCCTTTGATCCATCTTGATTTTGTTTTTGTATATGGTATGAGATAAAGTTCAAGTTTTATTCTTGTTTTGCCATTGTTAAGAGACTATCTCTTCTTCATGGAATGTGTTTCAGCCTTTTGTCAAAGGTTAGCTGTCTGTAAGTGAATGGATTTACTTCTGGGGTTTCAATTGTGTTCTATCAGTCACTGTACCAGTACCAAGCTGTGTAGTAGGTCTTGAGATTGGTAAGGTAGAGGCCTCTTACTTTGTTCTTCTTCGTAATAGTTCTTTGCTTGTCTGGAGTCTCTTTTCTTTCCATAGAAAGTCCATGATTACTTTTCCATCTCTTTAAAGAATGTTGCTTGAGTCTGGATCATGATTGCATTATAGCTGACGATTATATTGACAGTGTCACCGTGTAACTCTTCCTATCCATGATCGTGGTATATTCTTCCACTTATGCAGATCTCTTTGGGTGTTCTGTGGCTTTCTTTGGAGAGATCTTCTGTTTCCCTGGTTACATCCATCCCCGAGTACTTCATCTGCTGGGTCATCATTGTAAATGGTATTGTTTCCCTGATTTCCTTTTTGGAACTCTCTTAATTAGCATAAAGGAATTTGACTGATTTTTGTGTGTTGATCTTATATTTTGATTAATATTTCAATTAGTTATCATATTTTTCTTGCCAAGTTTTTGGGATTTTCTATGAATAGGATCATATTATCTGAAAATCAAGTTTTACTTCTTTGCCAACTTAGATGTCTTTACTTCTCCTTTCCTCCCTTATATC